TGAGGGTTTGGTTTTTTTTTTTTTTTTTTTAAACAAACCTGTTAAGTGAACAATTAAATTACTTTACTGACTTTTAAGGACAGTCACTATGGGCCCTATCATACACCCGGCACAATGCGATGCTAGTGTTTTTTGCTAGTTTCAGCCCAACGTAGTTATCATTTTCACGTCCAGCGCCACATTGTTTAAATAGCAAATGCATTTGCACCCATTTGTGTGCGTTCATGGGTGTGCTCTGAAAATGAGGTGTGTTCAGGCGCATTGTTGGCGCGTTGCTATTTTGAGGCAACTGAAATAGACTGCGCCATTGACCAACTAAAACCTGGTCTAAAGTCAATGGCGCATTTATTTATTTTTTGTTATTTAAAGAGAGCGTTAGTAATATCTGCCTATTGGCAGGTCAACAATGCTCGTACACTCTGCTTATTACACACACAGGGACGCGCCGCAGCACACAAACATGCTAAATATGAAAAATTGAAGGATTACAATGTAAAAGATTATTATTGTGTAGGCTACATAAATATAAAAATGCCTACATGTCATAATGGATAGTCATTGGATGTATCAGAATTAGGCTACCTATTTGCTTGCGCATGAGCAGCTCCGTTTCCTCTCTGTTCAGTCTTTGCGCTTGCAAATTCCGCCGTGTAAATAGCGAATCCGCCATGCCGCAAGCACAACTGGCTCTTACAAGGAATGGGAGATGAGACTCTGATTGGTTTATTGCATGTTATGCCCAAAACACACCCATTACTCATAAAGAGAATAGGGACAACCCTTTTAGACCATGCGCCGGGAGCGCTGTCCATTTTTCCTGTCGTTAAACTAGCAAAAGTGGATTCGGACATGACCTAAGTGCATCTGCGCCTTGCGCTTTAGACCATGCACTTAGATTGTTAAAATAGGGCCCTTTGAGTTTTGAGACCCAAACCTAGACTCTGTCTCTGCACTTTTCACTTGCTTTTTGTGGCAGGTCTTCTTTTCAAAGCATTTAATTTTGTTTTGCAGGTCACAGTGGAGAATTTCCTGCGAGTCCTGACAGGGCGTCTCCCGCCCAGCACCCCTCGATCCAAACGTCTGCTTTCCGATGACCGCAGCAACATTCTCATCTACCTGACAGGTCAGACTGGTAACAGCCTCATTACTGGCTTTTTCATTTCTTGTTTTTTTCTGAATCTGCGGGTCTCCATTTTCACAGGTCATGGCGGAAACGGCTTCCTGAAGTTCCAGGACTCTGAGGAGATCAGCAACATGGAGCTGGCTGATGCCTTTGAGCAGATGTGGCAAAAGAGGAGGTAATTATAGAAAGAGCTGCAGTGAACACATAGTAACTCTTAACATTTTTGATATGATTTAATCAATAATAAATATACTGAATTATATTAATTAATAATATTTAACACACACAATCTCAATCTTGTTGTGAAAGATCTGTTCTGTTAAATGAATTGTTATAGGTTTGAATCCCACTCTGTATCCATGGATATCACTTCTATGCGCTTGACCGAGCCACTTAACCTTGGGTTGTTTCAGGGAGACTTCCAACATAACGAGTATTCTGTAAGATGATTTGCATAAAAATGTGAATAAAATCTAGTTCCATTTGTCCTACTAGTAGGACAGTTGAACAAATTAAAACCGACAACCATTGACAAGCAAGCGCTACTCATTATACAATAGTTAGTTCTGGTTCTCAAATTTAATGGGCCAAGCAGTATTCTAAGAGTTCTGATATAACAGTCCAAGAGCATTGAGACTTTTCATTATCACTTCACTTGTTTGTGCTTGTGCAGACTGACATAGTGACATACTCTCAGTCATACGATATCATTACGATGGACTTAGTGATTTGGGGGCCCTAAGCAAATTTAAGGTATGGGCCCCTAACATAATAAATATGTGCTCTTTCACGCCTAACCCTTATTCTGCTCTCTCTCTCTCATAGTTTATTGTTTATTTACCCCTTCACAACTTAAGTTAATAATTATTAGGCTACCTTATTTTTTTTTCGGATCACAAAAGAAGACATTATTAAAAAAATGCTTGCACTTGTCCATTTAATTAATTGTAAGCTTCTTTAATCTTTTTACAAAAAGGATTCAAATGTCATAAAATTATCCCATGCAACTCGTTCCGTATTCCAAGTGTTCTTAAGGCGTACGGTAGGGTTTGCTGTGAAACAATTCGAAAATGTAATCTATTATTAAGTGAAAATCTCCAGTCATTGCATGTGTGCATTTGTATTTGAGTGCACAGCAGTTTGCGTCAGTGCGCATAGGAAAAGCACCCAAGCGAGTCATTTTGAAACATCAAGACAAATGAAATCATGACACGAATACTTTCTTCTCTAAGGTTAATCTGTTAATCTGTTCTGAGAAGGTCGGACAGGATTATACAGCCTAGAAAGTGCGCAAAGAGCGCTCCCTCTATAATCACTAAAAGCTGTCCTTCACTTCAGTTCATCACGACCTCACAACATTCCGTTAATCAATGAAGCTGTCTGCACTGCACAATGAATCTTATATTTACATCGTATCTACACGTTGTTATAATGAGAGGATTCACGAGCTGGCAGAACTCAGCACTTGACAAAAACTGAGTGAACATTTGATGCTCTTCAGAACAAAAATACACAATGGATCGTTTGCCAATTATGTTTTGCCAATATCAGATGGGGCCCTAAGCGTTCGCTTACCTTGCTTATAGGTTAAGTCCGCCCCTGATAATTGTAACAGATTTATGAGTCTTTATTAGTCAATGAATCATTCATTTAACTGATTTGCCCACAAACCTGGGATACAAACTTGTCTTTTTCTATAAAACTCTGCATGTTCAATCCAATCTTTATGAGTAAGTCATTGAAGCATTCACTCAACTGATTAGTAGCGGCTTGGTTTCATTTGAAACTCTTTTCATTGGAGGAAAAATAAAGAAAGTACTTAACAACATTGCATCTAAAAATGTAAACGAAGCTCTAAAAAAAGTTTCTCAATAGAAACATTAATTGAATGCTTATTCAACCGCTGAATAAAAGCAACGTCACACTTCCAGTCATATCAGCAAATGTATTCATACAGCTTAATAATTGTGTAATTGCTGCTTTTGAGAGCAAATTGCAGAAATTGACCAAAACAAATTCCAAAACACACATTAAATGACATTGAACATAAAACATGCAGTCTAGCCTTCATTGTGTGGCTCTTGGCCACAGTATTGATGTATATAGCTGAAGCCATGCTGCAGCTGCATAAAGTATTAATTGTGTGTTATAAATGCTCTAATAGGCTTTTTAGGTTCCAGCGCAGTGTAAATATTGTGGGAGGCTAGTGTGAGGTGCAATGAGAGCTTCCTCTCTTCCTGTAGAGCACTACAGCACTGGATGTTTTGTGCCTGTCAATGTGGTAATTGCAGGCTTGATCCAATAAATTACTGAAGCCCCTTTTGTGCTTCATTGCTCCCCCATTACATCTCAGGTTCATGCGATTCCAAGCCTTCTCATTCTCTTTCTCTCGCTCGTCAGAGATGGCCAGAAGTGGTTTCTAATTTTTATTATATATTTTATTTTGTGAATGGAGCGTTAATGGATGCCAGGTTCTTGGTTACCGTGGCAACGGCTTGCAGAGAGTGCTGTGTTGGTTGTATTGTGAGCGTTGCTCAGACAGCCTTGAGCCCTGTACTGCAGGTCAGATCTAGCTCTTATTACTTGATGACCAGCTTTAATTACAAGCGATAGTAGATTGCAACATTAGTGATTTGAATCGGACAAGAATCAACCGGCTCTAAAACGGCTTCCCTTCTTTGCAGGTACAACGAGTTGTTGTTCATCATAGACACGTGCCAGGGGGCCTCCATGTATGAGAGGTTTTACTCGCCCAACCTCATGGCCCTGGCCAGCAGCCAAGTGGGAGAGGACTCGCTCTCAGTGAGTCAAACCTTCTGATCTTGATCTTGTGCATATCTGACAGTTAACAGTAGTTGCAGCTGTTGGATATTATTGCAATTCTGCAGAACCTTTGAAAAATCATTGACATGAAAATCATAGACAACAAGATTTTTGGAGCTTAAATGAAAAGAAAATGCAAAGCAGTTTAATATATGGCTTATGGATCATTACAGAAAGATATATCAGATTTTTTAAAGGGGTCCTATTATGCTCTTTTACAAAGTCTTGATTTTGTTTTGGGGGTGTACTAGAACAGGCTCTCATACTAGGTTGTTCGAAAAACACATTATTTTTCACATATTTTACATTATTACAACACCTCTCTCCCCAGTCTGGCATGAACGGCTCGAATAGTTCCTGTATCAAATGAAGGCCCGCCTTCTGAAATACGAAATGTGCTGTGATTGGTTAGCTGGGCCAGTGTGTGTTGTGATTGGCAGCACTCGGCACCTGGTCAGGAAATGTCATGCCCCTTACCATAGCCGCCTGCGAGCTTCAGTGTAAATATTGTGTCAAAAGCAAATCAATTTGAGCGCGATTTAAACCCGGATTATTGTAACCACTCTAAGTTCGTCTACCTTGGGAAAGCTAGCGTGCCTCCGACATAGTGATAATAACACTTGTTGCCTTCTCTAGTGCAGTTCAACCATGTCTCGTCCCATTCGTCGATATTTGTGATATCACAAATCCCGGAAAATATGCATTGTAGTCCAAATGAGTCGTTCGTTGTAGTTTTTGAAAAGTGATTTCTGTTAAATAAAATATCTCCTTTTGAAGTGGACTTTGAGCTTTGTAACTTTGCAGATCTTTTTTATGCTCAAACAGCAACATTACAGACTAAAGTTGAAAAAGTGAAAAAGCATAATAGGACCCCTTTAAAGAAATTAATACTTTCAGTTAGCAAGGATGCATTAAATTAATAAAAACGTGACAGTAAAGACATTTATTAATGTAACAAAAGATTCTTATTACAAATAAATGCTGTTCTTCAGAAATTTTTGTTCATCAAAGTATCCTGAAAAAAATATCCGTTCCCACAGAGATATTAAGCAGCTCAGCCGTTTTCAACATTGACGATAATAACTGTTTCTTGATCACCAAATCAGCAGAATTAGGATTAGAATGATTTCTGATGGATCATGTGACACTGAAGACGGGAAGATATTACATTTTAAAGTAAATTAGAATAGTTATTTCAAATTGTAGTAATATTCCCAATATTAAAGTTTTCACTGAATTTTTGATCAGATAAATGCAGTCCTTCAAAAACATAAAAAAAAAAAAATCTTAACCAACCTCTAAGTTTTGAACGGAGTTGTATCTAAAATGTTTCTTCAGACCAGCTATGTGAGCATTGTTAATCTTGTTAATGAAATTATTGATGAAAAATTATTCTGAAGGGTTTGTTACTATCTATCTTTACTATAATAAAGATAAGGCAGAAAAATATGTACAGTATCATGACAATAATTTTATTTAAAACATACTGTTTTTTTTACAAGGATATATTTATGCTTTAATAAATGTAGACATTTTTTAAATGTTTCGAAATTTGGTAAAATAAGTAAAAAATAATCAAATTTGACAAGATAAAATTAATAAATATAACAGTGCGATTAATAAAATATGACAAAATATGGGATACATTTAAAGGATGTTTTTGTCAAAAGACAGAAACTGTACCAAAACAACTGTTAATAGTTTTTAGTGCAAAAAAATTGATTGCTAATTTTTTGTTTAATTTAGTCACATTGGACTTGGTGTAAACAGGCTATAATACACTAAACTAGACTAGACGGTCGGTAAACCATGATTCCCTAGAAAGCCCTGAACATTTATAGTTAATACAGATTTTAAATTATTAGGGAAGTATATAATATTGGAATTGGTTCACCTGTATTATTTTGTCCCTACAGCATCAGCCAGACTTGGCAATAGGGGTCCATTTGATGGACAAGTACACCTTCTACTTACTGGAGTTCCTGGAGGAAGTCCACCCTGCTAGCCAGGCCAACATGAACGATTTGGTATGTGTGTGTGTGTGTGTGTGTGTGTGTGTGTGTGTGTGTGTTTGTGTTTGTGTGTGTGTGTTTGTTTGTTTGGTGGTTGTTTATAATTCTAGCCTAATGATATGGAGAATGCAAGGTCCCATAGGAGCATTTCCTTTATCCACTAGTACAAATTGAACTTAAAAAGCGTCCGTCATAAAGACGTTCTGTCGCCTCAGATGAAAAGAACGGCCTTAGTGGACCACAGGTCTCTTAGCACGTCACTTTAAACAGAGTGGCTAATACAGCTGTAGGTCAGACAGCTTTGAAACAGTCAGGAGGGAGACCTTTTCTCTGAAGGCCTGGGTGAGCCTTAGTTTCTCTTCCATTCATCTGAGTGGTTGGAGTCCCACCAACTCCCACAATCCATTTTGATCTCTCCTGCCCTCCACATCCTCTCTGCTTGGCACAGTGCTTCCTAGATCAAACAGGTCCAACAACAGCCTCTTTTCTGGCGCTTTTTTGTTCCCCTTGCTCTTCTCTCGCTCTCTCTCCATTCTACTGGATTAGCAACGATATTATTGATTTCCCGTGGGAGAAAGAGAGAGGTTTTAATGTTGATAGAAAAGGGCCACTTGAACTCATGAATGATCTCTCGCATGAATGATCTCTCTTTCACTGTCATCAGAAAGATTGCGGAATGTCTTTCTGGCTTTCACTGTGCACTGGGAGTTATAAATTAAAAAATAATGCTCTTCTATCGCCAAATGTCCATTTATTTTAATTCTGAAATTGCATTATGTATGCTCTTAAAACTTGCATCTGAACAGGATGTTCACTAAATGTTGTTTAGAAGTCATGTTAAGGTTGGCTTGTTGTCATTCCAGCCATAAATATATTACTGTTCAAAAGTTTGGGGTTAGTAAGATTTTTTAATTTTAATTGAATTTTATTTGTAAAAACGTGACAGTAAAGACTTTTACATTGTTGCAAAAATGTCTGTTTCAAATAGATATTCTTTTGAATTCCTTCTATCCTGAAAAATGTCATGATTTCCAAAAATATTATGCAGCAAAACTGTTTTCAACAGAGATAATAATAATAAGAAGAAATGTTTTTTTTTTTAATGTAGAATAATTATTAGAATGATTTCTGAACGTTCATCAGTAATCATTAATGGCTGCTTCAGCTTTGCCATCACAGAAATAAACTGTACAGTGGGGAAAATATTTATCTGATTTTGTAAGTTTGCCCACTTACAAAGAAATGAAGGTCTGTAATTTTTATGGTAGGTTTATTTTAATGTATAGAGACAGAATACCAACCAAAAAATCCAGAAAAAAACACATTATATAAAGGTTAGAAATTGATTTGCATTTCAGTGAGTGAAATAAGTATTTGATCCCCAAGCAAAACATGACGTAGTACTAGAGGTAAGACGTTTTTTGTAGTTGGTCACCAGGTTCGCACACATCTCAGGGGATTTTGATCCACTCCTCTTTACAGATCCTTGTAGAGACAGAATGCCAACCAAAAAATCCAGAAGAAACACATTATATAAAGGTTAGAAATTGATTTGCATTTCAGTGAGTGAAATAAGTATTTGATCCCCAAGCAAAACATGACGTAGTACTAGAGGTAAGACGTTTTTTGTAGTTGGTCACCAGGTTCGCACACATCTCAGGAGGGATTTTGATCCACTCCTCTTTACAAATCCTCTCTAAATCCTTAAGGTTTCTTGCCTGTCATTTGGCAACTCGAAGTTTCAGCTTCCTCCACAGATTTTCTATAGAATTGAGGTCTGGAGACTGGCTAGGCCACTCCATGATTTTGGGTCATTGTAATCCTTGAAGACTTATCCATGACCCATCTTCAGTGTTCTGGCTGAGGGAAGGAGGTACTCGTCCAAGATTTTACAGTACATGGCCCCGACCATTTGCCCCTCAATGCGGTGAAGTCGTCCTGTACCCTTAGCAGAAAAACAGCCCCAAAGCATAATGTTTCCACCTCCGTGCTTGACTGTAGAGATGGTGTTCTTGGATCATAGTCAGCATTTCTCTCCCTCCAAACACCGCAAGTCGAGGTAATGCCA